ACGCCGAACAGTGAGATTTGCCTGTTTCTGAGAGCGATTCTAAACATTTATGTTCCACCTCTGATGCCTCAGTTGAAACCTTGCCTTTACCACCGCTTACAGCTGTCTCTTATACACATCTATCTCAAGAGGTTAATTCTGCAGATTCAGTGCATAAAAGTTTTATAAACTTGTAAAACTAGTTTTAAGACTTTTAACCGCTTAATTGTGGCAAATTATGACTGCTTGAATTTTGGTTTTAATCGTCAGGTATGCTGGAAACATAAAAACAAATTCTACAAGATATTGTTATGCTAAATGTACATTTTCACGATTCTTTCCATTCTGCTAAATTAATGGTAAATATTTGGGCGATAATTCAGGGGAATTTTAATAATATACACGTGCACGTAATTGGGAGATATTCATATTTCATGAAGATGGATGACTCAAATAAATGAATTTTAAAGGGCACGATATCGCGGCGCCCACGGCAGTTCACAGAGATAATGAGCGAGTGCCCGTAAAATCCGGACTAATTTTCCTGTGCACTAAAATTAATGCGCGCATACCGCAATTCAAGGGAGAACTCCGGAATAGTCGTTGGCAAAAAGTCTAATTTAAAAATATAGCGAATAAATAAGGAACAGATGATGGAATTTAATGATGTTGGAAATTTCAATGATTTGGTGTTATCAAACAATTTGCAAACATAAATAAGGGAACATCTAATAATATGACTGACGAGGTTTCTACTTGAATATATTTTTCTTCATAATTAGAGACATTGAAAGTGAGATGTTGGTTCTGGCCGCCGGCAGCTTCCAACTTGTCACGAGATAATAACTTGCGGGATGGCGTCTCGACAGCTCCCAGTTTTGCTCAGGCGAGGTTTCCGAGTTTGCACCGCAAACTCGGAAACTTTATGCTAAAAATTACTTTAACGAGTTACCGCAATCATAATTCACTTGAAAGCCACTAGTAATACGATGGCATCATCTTATGAGGCTTATTCGCCACAAATAAAGAAATAAATTTGGGTGATTCTACAAGACATTGATGGTTCATCGATGGAACATGGATGGACATCGATGGAACATAGATGGGCATCGATGCAACATAGATGAGGCATCAACGAACACCGCTGGCTTAGATTTAAATCAAGGCTCGTATATAGACAGCGCCGATGTCCGTTCAACGAACTCATGCATCATATGCCAGGCACGGATCTTCACCTCTGATGGCGCATCGATATGTCGCCTTTGGCCACACCTCAAATAAATAAATAAATGGCCCGGTAGCAAATAGACGAGATTAGCTAAGTCCATCGAATGACTCGAGTCTTTGATTGTTCTTGTCGTTGTCGCGCTTCTGTCCATGGACGCAGCATTCGTATGATGGAGAATCTACATACAGTCGATTCAATAAACTAGTCGATTCAATGCATATAAATGTGGATGACTACTCATACATGGCCGCTCGTTGTAATACTGCTATGCACTGTTATATTAATAAAACTATTTTTCGACCAAATAATAATATTTCTATCTCAATAACTCATTTCCACTCATCGTCATGCCGATATATCAGAGTTTTATTGTCGCTTGTTGGTAGCATGGATGTCAACTCGTCGTAACTCTTCACAAAATTATATTATAAAGTTGAATGAACGAAATTTTTCGTCCATGACTGCGCAATACAAGTAAGGTTCTATGTAAAAGTTTGAAAAAGCAATTTTCTTTTCGTGTGCTAGAAATGTGTTTTTTTTTTGTTGATAGTTGATAGCGGCTTTCATATTAGATCGGTTATTGCCGATAAATAATATTGTCTTATTTAGAATTGTTCATTGCTTCAGTCACATCAAAACCATCACTAAAGTTTAGTAAACCTTACCACTTGCGTACTTGCTTTAAGATAAATAATTTTCTTCTTGTAATATTCTAATCATTATTATCACTTTCAAATAATTAGACATAAATCATAATCACATGTAATTTCTGATTACCGTTCTGATTTAAATTCACATTAAAAATCGGATCATCTTTGCTAGCTACGATATTTATTTTTACCAATATTCTTCAGGATCTAACTCTTATCTAAGCGAAAAACATTATCATAATTTGGCATAACGATATTGATGACTGTTAGTGGTCATCAGACTTGCGTGCACTGTCTACATGAATGAATGTCTTAGCATGCCAAGATATAATTGACTATAAAAACACCATGGAATCTAAAAATGGTCTTCCGTTGTTAATAGCACTCGTATAACGTGAGCCTTGAGGCTCTTCTTTTCCCCTCTCACACTCATAATAACATCCCGTACCCAACTATCTTACGACACATTCTATAACAATGCTAAAAATTTGCTTCGTTTATACACGCGAAAACTGTAAATAAAACCCATGAAAAACTGTGCTAAACCGGATAAATAATTAACCTGACCTTCTACGTATTGATTTGATTCGTCATGCCTGATAAAGAAGTAAAGCTAGATAAAGAAAACGTACTTTCGACGACAAAATCAGTGCGCGTCTTCACAGAGGAAAACAATCCATGGAGCCACGAGCTCAAATATGTGTTTAGCCCATGTAAACTCGATTACGTTTTTATTAAATCTGGATTGAAGAATTTCAATTCTTCTCTTTTGGACAGCAATCACCGCGGTGGAGCTTCCCAAAAAATCCAATTCACCAGATCCGCTAGCAAATTTGAGTTGCAAAAACACCTCAATCATGTTTTGTCAACAAAAAATTGAACTTAAACTCACCTAGAATTCTGTGTAAATTTAATTTAAAGGTGCTTTTGTGCATTAGATCTGGAAAAAATGTATAATAACCTACGTCTGTGAGTTTATACAAGTGCAGGGAGCGTAATAGTTAAGTATGATTGTAGCTCGGTGGTTTGCCAACCAAATCTACTCAACCGATTACTATGAAGACCGGCTGAGCACCATAGCAGTTTGCAGATAATGGTGAGCATAATTTCAAAGCAACGTTCACGAGTTTCGTCGGCACTTACGAAGCGGGCACAGAAAATTTATGGAGGCGAAGAAAATTAAAAAGTTCATTAACATGGATTGCAGAGGAAATTGTTAAGATTTGGTGAGAACTACTATATAGTATGAGACAATCATGTGAAATCTCTCATGTCAGTAATAACTACTGCAGCCATGTGGGAGCGATGATAAAGTGGTTCCTTCGAAGTCTTTTCGAACAAATTGTTTTTGTCCGGTTACTAGATCGAAGAGTTTTTAGACTCAAAATATAAGCAGTAGTTTGAAACTAGGGTGCGTTTAAATGGAAAAACTAAATTTAAAATTTTGCATGCAGTTTCGTTAGTACTCCGGTTCGGGATGGGGAGTTATAATTTAGTTTTTTAATCCTGCATGAAGCTAGAAACGGCGCTGTTCTAAAATTTCTTTGGAGCAAAGGAGTTAATGATAGGATCTCGGTCAAGCCACTTGCCTCGAAATAGGGAAATAATCAGGACGGTCATTAACTTCATAATCCAGTTATCCCCAGGAAAATTTGACTCCTATTTTACAACTTGCTTCGCTTCCCGGATGAACTGAGATCAAATGCTTGTAAAAGGTATTTAAATTAAGGGATTTTGTATTCCTTCTAATTCCTATCTTGGTAAATGCATCAAAATATTGGAAGCTGAACGTAAAGTAGAAGCTAACAAACTTCAACGCATATACAAATGTTACATCATAATATAGAGAGTTAAATTTATTTATGTGGAAAAATACTGAAACGCTGAGGATTTTTCTCACTTAGAAATAACCCTGCTGGCCCAACATACTTGCTAAATTCTTAATTTTGAGAATTTTTATGCAAGGATTTATCAGTGATAAAAGTATTGAGATGGCGAAAAGTTATATTCAGTGAAATGAAGATTAAAAATTTATTGAAATATGATATATAAAAATTGATTTTAAGAGTTAATTCAGGATTTTCCTGAAACTGGGAAGGAACATTTACAGCACAAGTCACTGTATAACCCGTGAAGCAATCGAACATACTGTATATGACAACATCTTGTTCTTGATAGGGCAACGTGGGGCAGCGCGCCCCCCACTTTTTTCAAACTAAATTTTTGATGAAGTTTTAATTGATACGAGATGGTTTTTTGTTTTGTTTAAAGGTGCAACTAACGAGGAATGTATGATGTGAATTAGACGCCTATAGAGTTATTCAATTTTTAATGAAACACTATTTTGTAAAAAGTGTCAAAATGGGCCCATTGCCCCACCCCTGGGGCAATGGGCCCATTTTTCGAACAAATTGTTTTTGTCCGGTTACTAGATCGAAGAGTTTTTAGACTCAAAATATAAGCAGTAGTTTGAAACTAGGGTGCGTTTAAATGTAAAAACTAAATTTTAAATTTTGCATGCAGTTTCGTTAGAACTCCGGTTCGGGATGGGGAGTTATAATTTAGTTTTTTAATCCTGCATGAAGCTAGAAACGGCGCTGTTTTAAAATTTCCTTGGGGCAAAGGAGTTAATGATAGGATCTCGGTCAAGCCACTTGCCTCGAAATAGGGAAATAATCAGGACGGTCATTAACTTCATAATCCTGTTATCGCCCGGAAAATTTGACTCCTATTTTACAACTTGCTTCGCTTCCCGGATGAACTGAGGTCGAGTGCTTGTAAAAGGTATTTATATTAAGGGATTTTGTATTCCTTCTAATTCCTATCTTGGTAAATGCATCAAAATATTGGAAGCTGAACGTAAAGTAGAAGCTAACAAACTTCAACGCATATACAAATGTTACATCCTAATATAGAGAGTT